GCACCTGCACATACCTGGGCATGCATGCAAGTGTGAACGCAGAAACGGGGGATAGGAAGAGAAATGCACATGCATCTAGACCACCACAGGAAATGCACAGAGGTCAGCAATGCTCCTTTCTGGGTACGTGCATGAGCATATTCCCAACACTCACACACACACACACACACACACACACAGACGCATGCCTGCACACATGCACTGTGGAGGGGCAGAACATGCACATATAGCTTGTGTATCTGCCGAGGCAAGCCTACCCATCCTGTACATGTCTGCTTGTATATGATTGCAGAAATGTATGTCACCTCCTGGGCCCCTATCTGGGTTACTTTTCCATTGCTGTGAAGAGATACCATGGCCAAGACAACTAAGAAAAGAAAGCATTTGATTTGGAGTTCGTAGTTCCAGTGAATGAGTAGATGAGGAGAATGGCAGGGAGCATGGCAGCAGGCAGGCATCTTGTGGGAGTAGTAGCTGAGAGCTACATCTGATCCATCGGCATGAGGTAGAGAGAGAGAGAGAGAGAGAGAGAGAGAGAGAGAGAGAGAGAGAGAGAGAAAGACTGGAAAATGATACAGGCTTTTGAAGCCTTAAAGCCCATCCCAGTGACCTACTTCCTCCAACAAGGCCACACCTCCTAATCCTTCCCAAACAGTTCTACCAACTAGAGGCCAAGTATTCAAACATACAAGCCCATGGGGAACATTCTCCCCACCATTCAAGCAACCACAGTCCCCCAAACATCACTACTGATAAAGGCAAACACAGGCGGCAAGAGCCTAAATAAATGGCTGCTGGGGAACACACACCCACACATGCACACCCACACACCCACACACATGCACCCACCCACACACCAACACACACAAACGCACACACACACATGCACCCACCCACACACCAACACACACAAACGCACACACACCCACACACGCACCCACATGCCTAACTGCCCAACTGCCTTGAGCCCCTCTACCTGTGTGTTTTCATCAATGTACCCTCCACACCTGGCTCCGCTCTTAACTTTCAGAGGTTTGTATGGGCTCATTCAGCAAAGCTGCCTGCCCCCTTTCCTGTGTAATCTGCAGCTCCTGGCCCCCAACGCAAGCCTGTTCTGCAGGGTCACAGCCCATGACCTACTCCACATGGCTGTGTGTGGAAAGAAGTAGACTTCAGAGGTGTTTCCAGATGTCTGATCCACAGGCCCCTCCCCTTTGCATGCTAGGTTCAGCCTGGATGAGCTGCCCGCCTTCCGAGAGCTCCGGGAACTCTATCGTCTCAGGGCCTTTGCACAGGCAGGCCTCTCTGCTTGGCAAGCTCTTCCGGGGCCCCTTCAGCTGGCTACTCTGCTGACTCCTTAGCTCTAACACTGCGGGTCTTAAAGGGTCCCATGCTCTCCCCCACCCCCACTGTGTCCTGAACATTATATTCAATGACATCAACCAGCCGTAAACCCATCTTGTCCACAGCTGTGTCCCCAACACTATCACAAAGCCCTGCCCCAGAAAGGGCTCCATGCATACTTGGTGGGTGAGTGGACTTTTGGCTCCTAGCCACTCCACTGTCCTCTCCCTTCCATGCTCACCAATCTGTCTCATAAGTAGAAACAGAGGTGCTAGCTAAGAAGCACGCAGGGAGAGCTGGACCTCAAATCCACCCACCCATTTGCCACTCGCTTTCTTGTTCAAGCCCGCCACCCTTTCTAGGGTAAGCCTTAAGGACATGCCTGCCTGACTCAGGGAACTCCCAACTTCAGAGAGGACAGACATCAGTGGAGCTGGGATAGAATTTAGGTCACAGACAGTGTCTCCAACCTGCTAGGTGGAAGTTTTGGTAACTGGACTCCATGAAGTCAAGAGGGCCCACGCTCCTTCTCCCATGATGCTCACCTCTCACGGAACTCAAGAACAGGACTGGAAAGCTGGGCTACTGGGCCAGAGACCATGAGGCTAGGAAAGAAACACAGACCAGGAGCAGACTGGAGTTGAGTGAAAACAATAAGTTATGATCACCTGTGGTCTTCACATGTGACTCTAGAGAGAGCCATTCACAGAATATCCTGGCAGAGGTATGGTCATAGTTCCTAAGAGACCTGACTGCCCCTTCTGATGTGGGACCGCAGGGTTCTGGGAGACCAAGCAAAGGAGTCTTTTTTGGGTTCAGGTTCCTTCTGTCTCCCAGTGCTTATTGCTTACTCTGGCAGGGAGGGGCAGGAGGGGACCTAGTGAATCTGGTCAGTTTCAGGGACTTCCTGAAGCTCATTTGAGTTGTCTACCTTCCTGTTTAAAGAGCTTCCTTGTAGTGTGAAATGTTTCAAGCACAATAAACTGAGTTGCAGATCAAAGTCAAGTTTTTTTGGTATGCAATGGAGGCTGCAAACCAACCCCTCTCTTGCTGCATACCAGAATTTCCTAAGGACTTTTTCTGGATCAACACATCACTGCTGTTGCCTAGACATCCCTGAGGGTCCTTCTTCGGCCTCTCTCCCTCCATGGCTCTCCACTGCCTTGCCTTATATGTCAGAGCTGGGTGTAGATTGTAGCTGGGTGTGGCCTAACTTCTTTTCGTGCTCTGAGTCTCTAGATCCTAGGGGCTCAAACTAAGCCTAATTTTGCAGCAGCACTGATCAGAAGAAGCAATGCCTAACACGAAAAAAAGATCGCCAGAGGAAGGAATTGAGATAGTGCAAATAGGAGAAGAAAGGTTCCTGGCTCAAGCAAAGGATGGCTAGTTGCAAGTGTCCTCTAGCTGTGGAGAGGTGGAGGCTATCTGCCATCATCTTGTCTTCCTGAACCCAGTTTGTAGGTGGGGATGGGGCAGAGGTAAAGCTTGTGTCCGCTGGTACCAGCAACCATGAGTTCTTAGGATATACCATTTATGCCTACTGTGTGCTTTAAACTAGTCTCTTCACGCTGGGTGTGGTGGTGCACGCCTTTAATCCCAGCACTCAGGAGGCAGAGGCAGGCAAATCTTTGTGATTTCCAGGTCAGCCTGGTCTACAGAGTGAGTTCCAGGACAGCCAATGTTGTTACACAGAGAAACCCTACTTCAGTAAAACCACACACACACACACACACACACACACACACACACATTCATCTCTTCATTAAAGTCCTCCTGAAAAGCTAGATTCTTTAAGCCCATTTTATTAAGTTATTTAGTTTTTCTTTGGAACATGATCTCAAATAGCCCTCGTGGCCCTCAAACTCACCACGTAACCAAGAATGACCTTGAACTTGCCATCCTCCAGCCTGTACCTCCCAAGTGCCAAGATGACAGACATGTGTCACTAGACCGGGCTTATTTTAAACCCATTGCCAGAAAAGGGCGCTTTTTTAATTGTTTGTTTGTTTTGTCTTGTTTTTGTTTTTTGACTTATGGGGATCTCTCAGAGCTTCGAGTTTGGACATTGCTTGGCTCAGCTCAGGTTACCATGACACCCTGAGCCTTGAAAGTCCAATCTCAACAATGCTGCAGCCCCAAAGGTCTTCAGTTTTGCCGGGTCGCCTCAGTGACGTGAACACCCAGTTCCAGCCTTCTTCTTTCAGACTGACCTGGCAGGGCTTGGAGAAGTCTCAAGCAGCTGCAGAGAGAATCCCATCTGAGAAACTCTCCAGCGCCCCTTAGTGGTCCTTAATGCCACTGACTTCCAGGCATTTGTTCTGGGTGGAGAAATCCCTTGACAGGGCTGGGGGCACAGAGGCCTGCTTGCTAACGAGACACATCAAGGGAATGCTGACACAGGGCCTTCCTTGCCGCCAGCCCTGTCTGCTGCACTGCTCCCCAGTACTCTTCTAGTTCTCTATGGTGGCTGACGATTTTAGCAGTCAGTCTTACATTAATTGATGTGAGTACTGTATTACAAGCTCCCTCCGTCCGTAGATGTGCACCACACACGAATGTATGCATTATATTATTAAGTTCCCTCCCACTAGTAAATATGCAAAATGTAAAGTTTGCCCTGTTACTAGGGAAGGATACCCACCCCAATACCCCTGCCACCTCCACTTCTATTTCCCAGATTAAGGGGCAGCCTTCCCCTCCCCTGCCTGATGCTCCGGAAAGCTCAACCCCACCATTTCATTTGCAGGAATGTCTAGAAGCACAAGGAAATGAGAACGCGAGTGACAGAAGTCACGTGTGGGGAGGGGGTGAGAAAAGAGGAAAATTCCAAACGCAGAATGCCGGAAGGTCACTTTGAGCTCTTCTATAGAAAAGGGAGTTGCGCAGGCCAGACGGGGTTAGCTCTAAGGGGGATGGGGGAAGACGGGGTGTGATAATTGCCCGCCTTTGATGACATGGAGGTCTAGATAGTCTGGTAGGCTAATGGAAGTCTATGGGTCTCACAGATCATCATAGGTAAGAAAGGGAGACACATTGCCTGTCTCTTATCTTAGAATAAACCTGGGCCCGTGGGTACGACCCCTGATAAATGTCTGTTCTGTAGCTCTTTGGGTCTCAGTCCTGAAAGAGAAAAGGGAGGCAATACCGCTGCCCCGGAGCGCTGATTTTTTTTCCACTCCGGAGTGAATCTGTGGCTGGTATCACGGTCTCACCATGACACCTGCAAAGAGAGGGCCCTGGGTGGGGATGGATGAGGGACAGACTATCTGATGCAGTCCCGACAGATCTCCCAGCTCAAAGGATGCAGAACCCTGCAGCCGCCCTGACACTGACTCAACAGGTTGCTGGTAGGGTCCCCGAGGCTTTGGGAAAACAGGGTGCTGCGATGCGGGTCCCTATGACTTTGAGGAAGACGCCCCGGGTCTTGAGTGTGAATCTAGGGTAAGGAAGAGGAGCACAACCCCTGCTCCACTCCACACCCCCTCCCTGCCTATAAATAACCCCAAGTGTCACTTCAAAGGGCACTGGGAGCTCAGGACAGGGGCTACGGGGGTCGGCCGGCCCCCCACACCACGCCCCCCACCCCGGGCGACTTTGCATAAATAAACAAACCCCAGCCGCGGCCCCGCAGGAGGCGGAGGAGGAGCGGGAGGAGGCGAGGGAGGGGCGCGGGAGATTAGTTTGGGAAGTAGCGCCCCGCGCTCATCCGATCCGCGCGGCCGCGCCGGCTGTGTCAAGTTACAGAGGCGCCGGAATCGGCCCCAGCACGGCTCACTGCGGCCACGACCCACCTCAGCCCATGGGGCCCTGCATGCGCGCCCCTTCGCCTGGGGACTGACACCCTCTCGCCCCGGAGACGCAAGACACCTCGTAGGACCCCGAGAGTCGCACCAGCCCGAGGACTCTGCAGAGGCGAGAAGGGAAAGAGCGTGGGAGTGGGGCCAGAGCCCCCCAACTTGGAGCATTCTTCGAAATAACTTTTTTCCTACTTCAGCGCACCCTGGTCGCGCCTGCTGGTGCTCTTGCCTGTCCCCCACTCCGACTGCTCATTTTCTGTCCTCCTCGAAGAGTAAAGGAAAGGGACGTTCTCCAGCCACGCTAACCCCGTTTCCCCCTGCCTTGCAGTTTGGATTGCGCTTCTTGGATATCACTTTTATTTATTCTATTTATTTATTTATTGGTTCTTAAGACGCGAGGGGATGGTGGCGGAGCGCGCCCGCAAAGCGGCAGCCACAGGCACTCGCGGCCCTGGGGAGCTGGGCGCGTCTGGGCCCGGGACGGTGGCGCTGGCGGAGCTGTGCGCGAGGCTGCCGAGCCCCGGGTGCTGCGGACTGCTGGCGCTGGCGCTGTGCTCGCTGGCGCTCAGCCTGCTCGCCCACTTTCGGACCGCCGAGCTGCAGGCCCGGGTGCTGCGCCTGGAAGCGGAGCGCGGGGAGCAGCAAATGGAGAAAGCTATTTTGGGACGAGTCAACCAACTGCTGGACGAGGTTTGTGCCCTTTGTTGCTGGTTTTTATCCCCTCCCCGCGGTGCCCCCTCGCACAGTCCGGAGACTCCACAAGCTAGTGCGGGCCGGCGCTCGCTTGCATGGTCGCCCAGGTTGTCTGCACTGGGACTGAGGGAAGGGACTGCCACTGTGTTGCCAGAGATCCAGAGCACCAGGCCGGCATGTGTGGGAGGGACCTCTCAGGTCCGGAAGACCCCAGGTTTTTTCTCTGGGGATGCCCTGCGCGCGCGACAGTCAGGTGGAGGAAGGCAGGGCGCGCAAAAGGTGCGCAGAGGTAGCCTGGGCTGGTGGGAAATAGGCTGGGGAGGCTTACTGGACTCTGGTGGTCTCTCCACTCCACGAGGGTGGGTGCTGCCTGATATTTAAGCTTGCATTTGGAAGCAGGGCAAGAGTGTGAGCCATTTAAGGACCTACACGACAGCCTCTTAAGCAGATTGCTCATTGCTGGCCCCTGTTTGCTACTCCAGGCCCCAGAGCCCAAGTATTAGCTGCCTGCTGCCTGGACCCATTTTCCCGCTATGGCCGCTGAAATGGTCCTAATTCCTTCCCCTCAACTGGGAAAAGGGTCTCTCTCTCTCTCTCTCTCTCTCTCTCTCTCTCTCTCTCTCTCTCTCTCTCTCTCTCTCTCTCTCTCCCTCTCTCTCCCTCTCTCCCTCCCTCTCTCTCCCTTTCTTCCCCTCACCCTCTCTCCCCCTCCCCCCCAGTGGCCCCCAGTGTGCTCCATCCCAGGTAGATCAAAAGTTACTAATGTGTCTCTTTGCTGGAGCAATCCTGAGAGTGAGCTGCGGGGCAGTGGCATCCTCCCTAGGGAGGCGGGAAATGCAGACTCTAATGGGGGCGGGGTGGGGGTGGGAGTGATCAGGAGGGAAAGCTGAGTGCCTCAAGATGGAGAGGGCTGGTGGCCTAAGAGAATCTGAACGGCACAGAGAACCCAGGCTCAGGGTCCTGGAGAAGGCCCGGCCTGGAACGGTTCCCTGGGCAGGGGCACGAGTGTCTCTCGTACAGTGGAAGGAGTATGGGATAGTAACCAACAGGGTGCTAAAAGCCTGCAGCTCTGGGTTTTTGTATCCACGCTGAGATTTATTTGGGTGCTGTGCAACCTGGGACAAATACTGTAACCTCTCTGAGCTTACAGAATGATGGCAAGCTTTAGTCAGGTCTAACAGGCTTGGGTCTCCTGTAGCTGGGTTTCTCTGGGATGCCTCTTTTAAAGTTCCCTAGATGGCCCCCATGGGGGAAGTCGCAGGCCACAGCATAGAGGGTGACCCCGGGGACAGGTCTCTGCCGTGTGAGTAGTGTCCCATGCCTGTTGCTACAGCTCATTGCAATGACTGACCAGAACTAAGAAGGCTCAGTCAGGTCGCCCACAATCCCCTGGGCCTGGCGGCAGTCTCTGGGCTCTTACTGTCTGACTGAGTGGGGAGGGCACTGGCTGGATTGTGGAGAGGGATGCAAACCTTCTCATGTGCATCCAGCCCTTGCCAAGCCCTCCCTGTGCCAGGTCTCCAGTGCCCAGGACCTGCCCAGATCACTGTTATCTTTCATGGAGTTCCATGCTCCAAGTAGTAGCTCACATTCACCCCACTGACTCCAAGACGTCAGCCCCTAGAATTGAGAAACTCCCCAAAGATGATCAGAAGTGACTTCATTTTACAGAGGGGGAAAACTGAGGTCTGGAGAAGGGCCGTGGGTAGCTCAGGGCCACATGGCGACATCCAGTAGTAGAGCTAAGCCTCCCTACCCTGCACCCATTCCTCTTGCCCTGGGTCCTGCCCCTGCTGAAAGCTAGCTGAGGGCAGGAGGGCGGGGGAAATGCCCTGGAACACTTCAGCCTTCCTGAACTTGATGGGACACGGGAGGAAAATGAGCAGGCACCATATCAGGCGGGAAACGTTACAGTAGAAAATGTGTTGCCCACGACATAATGGTGATGGTGGCAACCAAAGTGGCTTCCAGAGGAAGTGATCTTTTAGGGCAAGACCGGCAGAGCGAATGGGGTTTCGCCTGGCACAAGGGGGCAAGCAGCAGGCTTTGTGCTAAGACACACACACACCCGGGGGAATAGCCTTTGGGGGGGAGCCAGAGGTGGGTGGGGCCACTTTGGGGCTGTGAATGTAGACCTGAGCCTTGGGGATTAGGGAGAATGGTATGGTTGAAGGGAAGGCTGGATGAGATGGGCAACTCAGGACAAGAAAGGCCTTTGAGATTTCTAGATGGGTAAAGAGGAAATGGGGAACCATCCGAAGGGTTGAACGGATAGTACTTAGGTCCCTCCAGTGGGAAGGCTGACAGGAGACTGCTGGGGACCATGACCTGGCCTGGTGTTGGGGACAGGACGGAGAGGACATAGTGGCTGCAGGGCTGGTGACACTTGGAGGCAGTGGTCAGGGGGCGTTGGAGGAAGCTGTTCTGTCGTGGGACCTGGCAAATAGAAGGTCTGCTGGAGGGACACTCAAAAGGCCACATGGTCTCATACAGTAATCACTAGCATATGTGACTTAATGGTATTGGAATTTAATAAAAATCGAACTGGAGTTCCTCAAGCACTCTGGTCTCACGGAAAGGGCTTGGCAGACGCAGGAGCCGGTGACTGGCTGGGCAGGCAGCAGATATGGTGACAGTCTCTGAAGGCATCCGTATGAGGAAGTGCCGAGCAGGCTGTGTCAGCCGTGACTCCTGCTGCTGTGACAAAAATAACCTGTGGAAACAGCCGCAGGGAGGAAGGGCTTAGGTTGGCTCATGGTTTCGGAGGTTTCAGTCCCTTTGGTGGGAGGGGGCAGAACAGATCTTTCCATGTCCCTTCAATTCCCCGCAGACCTGCAGTTACAGATGCTGCCCTCTCAGGCTCTTCTGCCCCTACTCAATCCCCTCTGGAATCGGCCCTCACAGACACACCCAGGGCGCGCTTCCCCTTCTCCTGGGGAATCTTCTTCTTGATTCAGTCAAGTTGATAAGATTAACCATGACAATGGGCAACTGCGGGGGGGGGGGGGGGCTGCAAAAGTGTCTCAAGCACAACTAGAAAGGGACACATCCTTTGTCCCTTTCCCCAGGGGAAGTCTCCCAAGTTTAGGCAAATAAGCAGAGAGGAAGGGGTAAGCACTGACAGGATGGCTCAGTGGTAAGAGCATCTGCTGAGTAAGCCTGAGCATTTGCCGAGTAAATTCAATCCCAGAGTTATGGCCAGTCTCAGGAGTACACACTCGTGTGTGTGCGTGTTCTCTCTCTCTCCTCTCTCTCTCTCTCTCTCTCTCTCTCTCTCTCAACACACACACACACAATGATGCTAAATATATTTTAATTAAAAACTAAGGAATGGGTGAGGCATGACCTGGGTGAGAGGGCGGGTTTGTACTTTTGTTTCAAAGCAGTTTTGTGAAATGGATGTGAAGTGAGCCCCTGCCTTCACGGTGACACAGGGAGCTAGAGGGTTTAGGGACTAAGATTAAGTTCCCCCTGCTTGCTGTGTAACTGTAGTGAGCCCCACCACCCCCTGTGGTCAGGTTTCTTCTGGCCAGATCCGGCTCCAACACCATCTAGGTACCGCTGTGAGACCCTCAGGAGGTGGCAGACAGCAAAATGCACGAAGGAGTGGCCTCAGCAGCAGGGGGTGATGAGGAGGAGGGAAGGCTCCCGGATTCCTGGGACAGGTGAACCTGGGCCCCTCCTTGAAGCAGGAATGAGGGACTTCGGAAGGGGCCCATGCAATGATCTGCCGGTTCCCTGAAATCCAGGGAGACACCAAGTGGAGTGTGCAGAGGACAGAGACCAAGTCTGTAGGACTAAGAAAGAGGGAGCCAGGAGGGCAGGCCAAGCAGAGGGACCCAATGGGGGAGGACACTTGAGAGGAAGGGAGCCAGGGCAGATCGGAGGGGCCCAGTCACTGGGGACTGAGAATGTGGTTTGACTCAGCGCCTCTCTTATGGTCTGGGACCCTTAATGAGCACTCCAGCTGCCTGACAGTTGACTTCCTTGCTGTGCAGAAAGAAGCTGGAATGTCCCAAATGGAGAAAATCAGATGACACCTAGGCTAGGCCCGGGCAGGAGGGCGGGGGAGAGACAGAGATAGACACAGAGAGAGAGAGAGAGAGAGAGAGAGAGAGAGAGAGAGAGAGGG